GAGAGAGAGAGAGAGAGAGAGAGAGAGAGAGAGAGAGAGAGAGAGAGAGAGTGAGTGAGAGAGAGAGAGAGTAGGGAGAGGGGTGTGAGATAGAAAGGGCCCAGAGAAAAAATGAAGTCAAACTTGCGGTAATGTTGGACTTTTCACTCATTCATTCTTCTGTTTTTTCCCTATTCTTCCTTCCCTACAGGTGCTTCACCTTCCAGAACCTGCCCAGTATGTGCAAACTGCTGTCTCCTCCCCCAGGCAAATGTTGCCCCACTGTCAGCTGTCCTCCTGGAATAGTGATCAACTATCCGGATGGTTATGTTCAACAATAAATTAAATGTGTAATAAATATAAGGACTATATCGTATAGTTGTTGTTTGCTTTTTATTAATAGCACCGCCCCCCCCCCTTTATAGAAGACAGTCAAGTTTAATAATGTTTCTTTAATATTATAGTATCATCTAATCGGGCGTATTTTACATAGAATATTACAGTGGAACTCGGATTTAACGAGCTCGGATTCAACGAGAACTCGGATTCAACGAGGTGAGATAAATTCCCCGTTTTTTCCTTTTTTTTAAATCAATAAAAATAACACGGATTCAACGAGCATTTAAATCAGCGAGCTCGGATTCAACGAGGTCGCTTCCAGGGTGAACAGCCCACGCAGACGTGGCTTCGCTAATTTTTCTCCCACAAAGAACTTTATCTATTCCCGGAAACCATCCATTGCAACTGCATCGTGAACCATTATTCACTTAGTTTTCATACCAACACATGCGTTGTTGGTTCGCGCACTAGTCTACTCTGCCGTGTGTCGAAGTCGGATGGGCGGCCTGCACACGTGTGACTGTGTGTGTGTGTGTGTGTGTCGGGGAGGGAGGTGGGGGTGCACTAGCGGTCCGGGCGTTGAACGTCACAGAAAGGCGTCACAGTCTTTTTCCCCCCTCGGCAACTGATCATCATTACATGTACAATGATAGGCTAGATCTAGTCCTGACGTAGAACTACGTAATGAATTGTGCGCTGGTCTATGAAATCCAAAGTTGCCATTATGCTAGGCTCTACTCAGCAACACAACTTTTTGGTAAACAATCGAGATGACAAAGGCGTGTGCATTTGAACGAATCGGGTCTTTTTTTTTTTACACAGCTCATAATATGCAGGCATTTCAGGCACTACTTGTGACTTCTTTGTACATCACTTCCTCAGTGCCTGTAATTATCTACACAAAACCTCGTGTTTGCTATAACCAACACTCGGATTCAACGAGATTTTAGTTCAGGCCCGGCGACTGTACTGAAGGTCACAAACAGGGCTAAAAAAAAGACCCAAATTTGTGAACAAATGACTTTACATTTGCAGAAGGCTCGTTAATAGAACAACCACTTAATGTTCTCTTTAGACTGTTAATGACAGAGATATATCTGGACACACACACACACACACACACACACACACGCACACACACACACACGCACACACACACACACGCACACACACACACACACACACACACACATACACAAATACTTCTTATAAATACATACGTACTTAAATACACACATAATTACATGCACAATTGCATACATAACTACATGCACAAATACACAATGTTACCCCAATACACAACACTTTTACAAACATGCCACTGCTGGTCGCCACTGTGCAGCGCCCTGTCTTTTTAGCTTAAGTTGTCGTGTCTTGCCCTTTGGTCTTTATTTTAATTCAAAATGCAAAAAAAAAACAACCCCCCCCCCAAAAAAAACACAAAAAAAACACAACAAAAACAACAAACCCCATCAACAACCCAACAACAACAAACCCCAA